TTCATTGGGCTTTAGCACACTGTTTATATATATATGTAGGTGTACAAGCACCAAACCGGAGCTAGGAGCGTGGGTTAGACTCCCTTTTTGTCAAGCCAACCACTGTGCCTCACTGCGAGGTTCCGAGCCTGCCAAGCTTTGACTTAGGGGTATTTAATTTCCTCCGTCTGTCTCTGCATCTGTTTTGTAATAACTATATAGACTGACAACACTGTACTGTACTGTCCAAGAGGGATTAAGTCCCTGTTCTGATCGACTGTAAATATTGTACATACTGTTCTGTATTGTTCATGTATATACGTATGAAAAATCTTTTTGCATACAGACTGTCACAGCTCATTAGACACTGCTTATTTACTGTTTTGGCTTTCGCCATGCCCCTGTACTCTGTATTATTGTCTGACTGTTAAGCAGACCTTTGGTAATCTCGGATTACTAGCCAGTTACGGTGCTAAACCCATAGGGGCGGGTTTGGGTAATGACAATTATGTGTAAAAACAAGGGATTATATAACTATAATGTGTAAAAACAGAGGATCGTGTTTTGTAACATTTGGTGAAAGCGCATAATCTAAGCAAGAATAAAATGAAAAAGACATCTACAATTGTAGGTAGAATATATAAAAATAGGGTTGTTGTCCATTGTATTTTGTAATTAAAGAAAAAAACAAACAACAACAATAACAACAAGAAGATGAAGTATTCAATGAAACTGTAACAATAATAAGAACAATATTTAATAATAAGAACAAGCAACAACAAGAAGAATAAGAAGTTGAATGTGTAAAAATAGGGATTATGTTTAGAAAAAGGGTCCAATGTGTAAAAATAGGAGATTATATGACTAGAATGTGTAAATACAGGGGTTGTGTTTTGTAACATCTGGTGAAACTGTTTAATCTAAGTAAGGATAAAACGAAAAAGAGATATAGAATTGTATATAGAATGTGTAAATACATTGAAAATATGTAAAATGTGTTACACAGGTTTGTTTATGAAAGTGTTGTTGAAACAATATGATGTATATAGAATATTGAAGAATAATTTACAAATTTTAATGAAAAATAAAATCTAGGTTTTTCGAAGTGAGATCTTACTTTTTTTCCCAATTTTTGTGAATCGAAAGTGAGAAACTATGAAACTTCTTTAGTGTGGTGATGGTGCTTAAACGTGATGGTTCTTCGTATTGTTGCGAGTCGCCGATTGGAGAAGATAAAGGGTTTGTGTTTTGGATAGGGTTTCAGAGGTAGTGGAATTGAACAGTACAACGATGAAGGACCGGGAATGTAGAATCGAGCGACGGAGATGTGACAGTGGAAGGGTCAGAGTGGTGTGACATGATCGTGGGTAGCGGTTGCATGCATGTAAACTGGGGGATATGTGAGGGTTTGTTCGTCTGATTGTTAATTTGAGAATTTAATGGGGTGTGATATGTTGTGTTTAGACCTTTGGGTTAGTTCTCCTTTATTTTATTTTTTATATATATATTGGTTAGGCCGAGGTTAAGGCTGTTGGAGTGGGTTTGCATGAGATCTGTATTCCTAGGGTTGCGTCTGCCACTTATCTATTTATCTAGTATTTAGTCTAGTAGTACTAAATAAAAATGGAGGAATTACTTAATAGTGGAATAGAGAAAAAAAATTACAAAAATATAGAAGGTGTAAGTAATTTTATGAGGAGGCGTAAGTAAAAAGCTATGGAGTACAAATCTCACTTATAATTTCTTTTTATTATCCAATTGATACCTAATTCCCTCAATAAAAATCATGAAAAAAAAAACACATAATATATTAAAATATTAGTTATTTTAATAGACAATATCGCTACATTTACATAATTAATTTCGTTTGAATGTATATAATTGAGACACTAATCGAGAAAAATCTAATTGAGAAAAAACTAATTGAGACTCTGATTGAAAAGAAACTCTCATTTCAAAATTTCTTCTCGATTAGAGTGTCAATTGTTTATATTTAAACGGAGTGGTACTACATACACCAATTAGCATACTAGCTAGTGTATTAATACTAGTTATAGCATTATTATTAACCCTACTTATTAATAACATCATAAATACTAAAAATCTCTTAAATTGTATCACATCATTAATTGATATATTAATTAATACACTAATTAATGCATATCACATTATTCATTTAAACGGGGAAAATTGTGTGATAAATCATTCCACTTTAATTTATTTAGTTGGCTACTTCCTTTCCTCTCTGTTGATTGTTATATAGCTTATTTCCTCATTTCTGGTTATCTCTCTATCTATTTTGATCGCGTTAACTCAGTCACACACATACATACAGAAATATATATCGAGAGAGGGAGAGGGAGAGAGAGAGAGAGAGAGAGAGAGAGAGAGAGAGAGAGAGAGAGAGAGAGCGAGCGAGTTGAATTGAATTGAATTGTTGATGGAAAAGGGTTTGAAGATTGGGGGTGGTGGGTGGGACAAAGATGCGAGGACGATGTGGAAGGAGATTGGTGATAGAGAATTCGGCAAGCTCAGACCTAATTTGTTCACCAATGGCATTAGATCCACTCGACTCTCCTCTCTCCAACTCTCCAACTACAAAGATATCATCTCTCCTCACCGAGGCTTCGTCAACTCTCTTCAGGTTTTCTCTCTCTCTCTCTCTCTATCGTTCTGTATCTGTGTAGGTCATGCACTGCAAGTTATCTGATCCGTCTACTCTGTCTGTTTGCTTTGGAGCCATCTATGAGTAATAAATTAGTAAAACTATGTTCAACTTTTATTTATTTTTCTGTATGATGTAATAAGATCTGTTTTCTGAATTGCTATCTGAAATGCTATTTGTGAATCATGAATGAATGTCCATTTTTCTGAAATGTATTTGTGACATTCATAGTTCACATGGCCCTCGCTCGGGGGTAACAATACCGTGACTGATATGCACGTGTCCCTCGCCCAAGGGTTACAATACTGTGGCTTATGCTCACGTAGCCCTTGCCCATTGGTAACAATACCGAGGCCTATATTCACGTGGGCCTCGCCTGGGGATAACAATACCAAGGCTACTTACGCGCAAGATATGGACCTTTATGGTTGTCGGTACCGACTATACATGTGAGTCTCAGGACCAAGTTGATATGATAGCTAATGGATGTACCACCTATGGCAGTTATAATTTCTGGATAAGTATATGAATCTGAATATGTTTCTGATATAAACTCTGATTTCTAACTCTAAGGTGGACATCATTAATTAAACTCTTTACTTTATTATTATTTACTAGGCTTCGCTCACTATATATATATATATATATGTAGGTGATCAAGTGCGTGACTAGGCTTAGTAATAATCGTCTGGAGAGTTTTTGTCAAGCAGCCTTTGCGCCTCCCGAAGAGGGGGTTCCATACGTCTTGTGGTATTGTTTTGTAGACATAAAAGACTTCGTTTTCTTTTTGAACTATGAACAAGTTCTCTTTTATCTGTATATTGGGCTAAGCCCCTTTTTGGCTATATCTGTAATGAATTTGACGTGAGACTACTGCAATATGATGTCATGTATATGTGTATAAAGGTTTAAAATTTCTGTCCCATATATGTCTCCACAGCTCAATGGACTATGTATGTTTCTACATTTGCTTCCGCAACCCCTAATTATAAGTTATTCTGTTCAGAGGCCCTTGGTAATCTAAGGTTTACTCCGGTTAAGACGCTAAACTTATATGGGCGGGTTTGGATCGTGACATTTGGGTTAGTTCTCCTTTATTTTATTTTTTTATATCTATTGGTTGGGTTGCGGTTAGGGCTGTTGGAGGGGGTTTGCGTGAGATCTGTATTCCTAAGGCTGCGTCTGCCACTTGTCTATTTATCTAGTATCTAGTATCTAGTCTGGTAGTACTAAATAAAATGGAGGAATTACTTAATAGTGGAGCAGAGAAAAAATTATAAAAATATAAAAAATGTAAGTAATTTTATGAGGAGGTGTAAGTAAAAAGTTGTGAAATACAAATCTCACTTATAATTTCTTTTTATTGTCCAATTGATACATAATTCCCCCAATAACAATTATGAAAAAAAAAACACATAATATTTTAAAATATTAGTTATTTTAATATACAATATTGCTACATTCATATAATTTATTTCGTTCGAATGTACATAATTGGGACTCTAACCGAGAAAAATCTAACCAAGAGAAAACTAATTGAGACTCTGATTGAAAAGAACTCTCATTTTAAAATTTCATTCCAATTAGAGTGTCAATTGTTTATATTTAAACAGAGAGGTATTACATACACCAATTAGTGTATTAACTAGTACATTAACACTAGTTATGACATTATTATCATGGTGTTACATATACTAATTAGTGTACCAACATTAGGTATGACATTATTATTGACCCCACGCATTAATCACATTACAAATACCAAAAATCTCTTAAATTATGTCACATCATCAATTAGTACACTAATTAATATACTAATTAATAAATATAATATTATTATATTATTATTCACCCCACCCATTAATAATATTACAAATATAAAAATATCTTAAAGTATATCACATTATCACATCATCCATTCATATTTAGGCCAAGTTTGGCATCCTCTAAAAAATCTAAAAAGTCAAAAAATCACTATCTTATTTAAGTCACATCATTTTATTTAAGTCACATCACCTCTCTAACACATCACTTCAAACCCAACCCAAATTCAACCCATATTTCATAAAAAGTCAAAAAGTACACTTATTTGTCAAGTTTGGCATAACCTAAATAATACAAAAAATCAAAAAGTCACTATCCTATTTAAGTCACATTATCTTATTTAAATCACATTACCTCTCTAATACATCACATCAAATCTAACCCACACCCAACTCATATAAATTAATAAATCAAAAAATATACTTTTTTAGAACATCCCAAACCAACCCTTAGGCTTTCCAAACTTGGCCTTATTCATTGACCGGGAAAATTGTGTGAAATTGTGTGATAAATCATTTCACATTTCACTTTAATTTATAGTCGGCTCTTTCCTTTCCTCTCTCGGTTGATTGTTATATAGCTTATTTCCTCATTTCTGGTTATCTCTCTATCCATTTTGATCGCGTTAACACACATACATCCAGAAATATATATATCGAGAGAGAGAAAGAGAGAGCGAGTTGAATTGAATTGAATTGTTGGCGGAAAAGGGTTTGAAGATTGGGGGTGGTGGGTGGGACAAAGATGCGAGGACGATGTGGAAGGAGATCGGTGATAGAGAATTCGGCAAGCTCAGACCTAATTTGTTCACCAATCGCATTAGATCCACTCGACTCTCCTCTCTCCAACTCTCCAACTACAAAGATATCGTCTCTCCTCACCGAGGCTCCGTCAACTCTCTTCAGGTTTTCTCTCTCTCTCTCTCACACACACACACACACACACACTTTTATGTTGGGAAGATTCTAACTTTGTTATAGTGGTTGATAATTGTTGACTCCTAAGAAATTGAATTGAATGTGATGGTCCTAAAACATATGAAATATGTATATCCTAACCCATGAGTGATGGTGTTGAGGTCATCACATTAGACTGAACAAAGCACTACCGTCATTTTTGGATCAGTTGTAGCAGGCGCACTATACTAAACCATATGGTTAATTACACAAATGGTCCTCGAACTATACGTCAGTCCCCAATCTTGTAATTGTTCCACTTTGGTCTTCAAAATATGCTATATGTTATGCGTCTAAGCTGGTTCGGACACCCAGTTATCCAAAAAAGAAAAATGCGATTTGTTATACTTCAGTCCCTAACATTAGCACCGTTCAAAATCAATAATGAGAGTAGGGGAATTTTTAGAATTTTCCAATAAATAAATAAATAAATAAAATTTAAAGATTGCGAATAAAAATGCAATAAATTGCATAATTTGGAAACTAAAATGAAATGAAATGCATATTTTAGGAACCTACTAGATGCATACTTTTGAGCTTAGTAGCAGGAGCCTTCTACTTGGGTGACATTTCTTATTTAGAAACATGATTTTGCGCTCAATTGTAAGAAAATCGCTCCCATCGAGGAAGAAACTTGCTCCCAACTGAGATAGAATCTCTTAAATATACAAATCTCACATAAACAAAAGAAAAACATTTCAAACTTATTCTAGTAATTTATTTTTACATACTATTTATTCCTACTAAATAAAGACAATCTATAGTTGACATCTATATCTAATATTTATGCATATTTTAACACATATTATAACTAAGCAGGAAAAATAATTGCTAAACTATATTTATATGTTTAATATATAAAATATATACACATTCTCATAGGCTCTTCCACCCTAGTCCCTACCCCTGCTTCCACTCCCCCCCTCGTTCTTTCTTGCAACTAAGCTTTGAGACCATGTGTGTATTTGGTCATTTTAATTTTATTGAGATTTCATGTAAAATTTCAAAAGTGCCCCACATCTCGTTGTTAATTTTGAATTGTGCTGACATTAGGGATTGAAGTGTAACAAATCACATAATTTGGGATCAAAGTGGAACAATTAAAAGATTGAGGACTAAAGTGTAACAAAACATTTAATTTGGGGACCATTAGTGTAATTAGCCCCTAAATCCTATTATCTCCTTGTTTCTTATATCTAGGCATTTGGGACTTCTTTTTTTTTTTTTCCTTGGTTGGGGGGTGGTGAAAAAATTAGTTTTTTGTTGAGGAAGTTCTTCCAGCCACTTGTTTTGATCACAATATCAGGTTGATTTGACAGAGGGTCGATATTTGCTATCCGGTGCATCTGACGCATCAGTTGCTATCTATGATGTTCAACGTGCAACCAATTATGAGGGAGGTGGTTTGCTTGCAAAGCATAAGTCCATAATTAATATCGACAAACAACATGACCATGGACATAAATATGCCATATCCTCAGCCATATGGTATCCCATTGACACGGGTTTGTTCATCACAGGTTCATATGACCATCACATCAATGTCTGGGATACAAATACTACACAGGTAGTTATCCTTCAAGATCTTTTTCATCCTGCTCCATTGTATAACATCATGATTTCTTGCTGATTATGGTTATGATATTTTCTTTGGTCAATTAAATTTTTTTTAATTTTATTTTGCAGGTTGTAGTGAATTTTAAAATGCCTGGAAAGGTTTATAGGACTGCTATGTCGTCATTGGCAACATCCCACATGCTAATTGCTGCTGGAACTGAAGATGTTCAAGTGCGCCTCTGTGATATTGCTTCAGGGGCATTTGCTCATACATTGTCTGGTCATCGTGGTATGCTAATGTGTTATACTGATTGATCAATTTTCTTTTACATATACGGTTCATTGTTATGAGTTTTATTTTAGAATTGCTTCTAGTCATAGTTGTCAAATTGGGATTCGAACTGTGAATCGAAATGAACTTGTACCAAATCACGAATTAAATCGAATCGAATCTAATCTAATCTAATCGCGAATCGTACAGATTCGATCACTTTTTAAAATTACATAGGAAAATATATCTACACATTTAGATATTAAATATATCTAATAAATATGAAATATTTTGATTTAAATCAATGAAAATGTTGTTTTGAATGATTATGAAGTGTCTAGGTAAAAAGTTAACACGGGTTCCCATGTTCACCACTTTACCTTTTCCTTTTTATATACTATTTCTTATCAGTCATTTTTAATAAAGAAAGCAAGCAAAGATAAACTTTCAATTTCCAAGTAACAATAACTCAACAACAACGTTTTAAACTTTTTACAAGGTTAAGAAATCAAAATCTTGAAACTTAATAAAAAATCTCACTTGATGCCTTAGAAAAGTTTTTTTTATAAATGCAAGCACTTAGATGAAAAGGTTGTGTGAACCCTTTTTCAACAACAAAAAAACCAAAAAAGAAAGCCAAATATTGATTTTAGCGAATCGAATTAAATCAAATCACGATTCACCGATTCGGTTCAACGATTCACCTACGATTCACAGTTATTTGCAATTCATGCAACCTGTTTGTATCGATTACCCATTGAATCAAATCGAATCGTACGATTTGAATTGTGAATCGTTCGATTCTAATAGCACAGCTTCTAGTCCCTGGGTCCACTTCCATGTGGCCATGCCACGTCATTGTCACGTCAATCTCCATGTACCTTGGTCCCATGTGTTAGTCTCATGAGGTGACATATGGACAATGAGATGTTGCCTCATGTCACTCCTCCACCAGATATATTCATGTTGGCCAGGTTTAACATATGTGATGCCTTACCCTCTCAAGCCAATGCATTTGTAGGCATCTTCAAGAGGCCTCCTAGGTGCACTCGGCTTCCCTTCCTTGCTTAAGTAAACTCTTCATCTGAGTGTGTTCATATCCGCTCATGCCAATATGCTTAGACTCTCATGGTCTACACTTTGTTCTCTAATAGCACTCTTATGATCTCATTCTAACCTAAGTCAAGCGTATGGCCTAGAAAACCCCTCTGGGTTGGTTTGGCGAGCATGGGCCACTTGTTCGACACCATTAGGGCTGTTCATAGAACCAAATCACTCGAAAAAACTGACCAAACCGACCGAATATTGCTTGTCATAGACGGTTTCGCTGCACTATATGGTTGGCAGCAGATCAACGAAGTTTTATAATTTCAAGTGGCGGTCGGCTTGCGAGTGCACCAATAAAAAAATCATAAAAAACCGACTGACCGAAATATAATAATATAATATAATTTATACGTGGCTTGTTATTGTTGACTTACTATAATATATTATCTCCAATCTTCTAGAAATCTTATTTCAAACTTTATCTCTCTAGCTTCGACAGACTGTCCAACTTTTTGTCTTCTCACCACCATAATAACTCCTTCCTCTCTCTAATAGTACTTCAGTCAAAGAGTCCTATCTTCTCTCTCACTCACGCATATCAATAACTTCTCTCTCTATCTCTTATTATTTCAGTCTATAGTGACCTTCTCTCTCATTTCCCTTCCTACTTTGTAATTCTCCATATCTCCTTAGTATCAGATTGTGATGATGGCGCTCTTTGTGTGAGATGGTGGCGACGGCGCTGAGATCACATTCGAGATGGCGGTATCTTCTTTATTTCTTATTTTTTCTCCTCATCCTCGCATCCCTATTTTATCACCCTCTTCTGAAACTTTGATTCCCTTCCTCAACCTCTATTCTATGAATCTGTGATCTTTCTCTTGCGAAATAGTCATCCCCGTCTCTTTCTTTCTTTGATTTTCCTCGCGTATAACTGTCATGACTCGATCCCGCCCCTAATAATTAAGGTCATAACCGGCCAATAATTATGAGATTATCTACGGCCTCAAACAATTTCAAAAATATTAAAGGGGCTAAAACGGAAGCAAACTTAAAAATTTTGTCCAACGAGCTGTGCTTACATGGCATAATAAAATTATCCCAAAAGCATTTCATAATAACTTACACATATATGTAGAATTAACATCTTATACATCTAAGAACTTCAAACAGCTAGTCAGCCAAACAAAAATATATGTACATATGTGATTCGCCATAATCACTAAGACAGCAAAAAGTGGTAAACAAAATAACAAAAACAACGTCTCATGCGTGAGACATTCGGGCTGACTCCATAAAATCGACTCCCTCTCATATCCTTTACTAAGGCTGGGTTTTGACATCTCTTTGCTCACCTACACACATATAAATGAGAGTGAGCGATAGCCCAGTGAATAATATCAAAATAAATGGGTACATGAATGAAATTTGTAGCAATCATATCAAACAACCTTAGGCCCATTCATGATTCTATCTAATACATCAAATGGCCTCAAGCCCAAACATATCAAATGGCCTCAGGCCCAATTCGTTCTTATCAAACGGCCTCGGGCCCAATTTATTCGTGTTAAACGGCTTTTAGCCCATTCATTCATGTCAAACGGTCTCTGGCCCATTCATTCATGTCAAACGGCTTCTGGCCCAACTATTCATGTCAAATAGCCTTTGGCTCAATCATTCATGTCAAACGGCTTTTGACCCAATTGTTCATGTCAAACGGCTTTTGGCCCAATTCATTTCATATTCGTATTTATGTGTGTCACATATCCGTGATCATGATCATATTCGTTTGCAATTAGTCTTATGCAAAGGACTGATTAATTCACAATTCAAAATGCAAATCCATAAGGCTCATACAGAAGTAACGTTTGGAAAATAATGTACTTGAACATATCTTTATTAAGATATTACTCATAGTGTTCCGCCGAAGGATTTGCCCTTGCCCTTGCGCTTGACCCTACACATTACATAACATAACATATTGGGTCACAAACAATTCAATTCGTCCTCAAATCGTTTTATTTCTCTTAGGCCTCTTTCTTATCCCTTTAACTCATTTACAACGTTCAATGCATGCCTAAGAGTGCTTAGAAGTGAAAGAGAACGGAAAACAAAACATAAATAAACTTTTCAAAATTTCTGAAACAGGGCTCTCCGCTCGAGTGAGCGAACCCCTTTCTTTGCAAAAGTTCTGGTTGCTTGTAATTTATGCTCGAGCGAGACTATTGGCGCTCGAGCGAGGAGTCATGCAAAGCAGGCTATGCTCGAGCGCAGATTCGGCTGCTCGAGCCACTGTGCAATCTCTGCAAAACTTCTGAGAGCTACAAATTCACGCTTGAGCGAGGCTTTTCTTGCTTGAGCAGATAAGTCGAATTCTGGGTTTTCCAGAATTCTGTTTGAAGCTCAAAAACATATTTCAAAGGTTCCAAAGTTTGCAAATCAATGCCAAATCATAGAAAAACATTGTATATCATAAGAACTTGGATAAATTAAGACCAGTTGTCCAAAATCATGGTCCACTTTCAAATCCATTCCAAATTCTCTCACAAATTCCAATACTCATGCATTCAAACTTCATACAACTTCATATCTTCATGAATCATGCATGCATGTTAATTGTTGACTCCAATTCTACTTCGAATGACACAAATCATGCCCAAAATCATGAATTTCAACAAAATTATGCATGCATGTAAGCTTTGATGCTTAATTCTTCATATTTAACATGCCTTATGCTAAATCATGCAATTTCATGGAAATTCTATACATGCATGAATATATGGACTTCAAATTATCATATTATTCTTAAATTCACTCAACCATAGGTTTACACTCATGGTTTTGAGTTCAATTACTCACCTAGCATCTCCAATCTTTCCAAAATTAGCTAATTTCTTGACTTTAGCTTCCAAATTCCCAAGCTTTGAGCCAAAATCCACAATTTGTACCTCTTTTCTCTCTAGAACCGATCCTCTCTCTCTCTAGAGTGTTTTTCAGATTGTTGAGCTCAAAATGAGAAGCTTAGGTGTTAAAAGGCCTATATATATATACTTGCCTAATCAACTTTGATTAAGGCTAGTTAATTGAGCTTAAATTAATCAATTTAATCTAAATTATATCGATCCGAATCAATTTTTAATCAAATTTCACCATAGGCTCTAAAAATCATGTTAAGCACAAAAATACAGTTAATTTCGATTTCTGTGGCCGATAAGGCCTTCAATTTTCAGTTTACAACAGTAAGTTGAACAGATCTTCTTACGGTGAACAGATATAAGGCCAAAATCACATATAATCATGCAATTAACACCCAAATTCAAATTAATCACATATTCACAATATAATCATGATTAATTAACTTAACACAAAACAGGGTTATCACAATAACCCTTATCATGTTCTATTGAGTTGAGGAAGATAGAAAGCAACGATACCGACCGAAGTCTAACCGATTTTTCAACACCCTTGACAATCGGTTTTGAAGCAGTGATCGGATGAGTGTGGGCGATATGTTATTCAAACCGATGATGTCGGTTCAGGTGACTGGCGGCCGGGAAAATCGATTTGATTTGACCCGTGAACACCCCTAGACGCCATGCTTGTCTCATCTGTGTTAGCCTGTTAGGTAATAAACATGGGCACTTTAGGTGTTGCTAGGACACCTTAAAATGGAAACTAATACCTACTTAGACCTCGTTTGGGAACAGGCGATTTTAGTAACTTTTTAGCTTTTTAGCTAAAATATGAGGTAAAAAAAACTAGTATATTTGGGGTGACTTTTTGGCTTTTTACGAAAATATGTGCAAAAAGTAGAAAGAAAATGGAATCTTTGACTTTTTGGTATATATTATAGGCTTTTTGGCTTTTTTAGTAATTTTTTGACGTTTTGGCTAAAATGTTAACTTGCCAAACGAGGCCTTATTCTTTTTTCATATCTTTATTGTTAAAGGCTCCACAAAGACTGTAGCCTCAAATTGGTCATTAAGTGGATTTGGCTCATACTCCATTGCCAACAAAATTAAAATAAATAAACAAATAACACTACAAAAAAGTGTGTTGTTTTAAATACCAAAATAATGTAGGAAAGAGGGGGAGGAAGTCTTTCTTTCATGATTGGAAGCCAAAATTGATATATATTGATATATAACAATGGCAAAAATAAATTTTAGATGTTAATTTTAATTACTTCTTGTGGCTAAAAAGTGAGCAAAAGTGTAGGGTTTCACAATATAGAAAGTGGCAACAATAAGATAAGAGGGATGCAAAAATTAGTTAAAATAAATGAGGTTTTCAGGTCTTCCAAGGGTTGTGAACACTGAAGGTTTCGTAATTTTATGTTGTTAGAATGCTTAACAAAAAGAAACTATTGGGAATGGGAACTACAATTGGAGAATAAAAAAAGGTTTAAACCAAGGTTTTAAAAGGCGGCTTTACCATTATGCAACACTATTACAAAATGGTTTTATCCCTCACCATTACCCAGGATGTCCAATTTAGCTATGTGACAAATTCTCAATGTAACGGGCTTTTATGGTATTTGTAATGTTCTTAATGGTGTTGTAATGGCCGTAATGACATTTGATCATATTCAACATGCATTGGTTATTCCTGTTAATTGGATAATGATGATTGAACTCACGAACAACGGAGATTTAAACAAGAAAAGGATGGTAACGGTGTCAAAGAGGCACTTCAATAGTTTGATCTTGAAACTTGAAGGGAAGACCTCAAGGCTAAATGCATTCAGGGTAGGGTTGTAAATCGTGTTATTTGTCTCGTGTTTGAACTCTTGTTTAATGAATTTTTTCATTAGGCAAGGTGACTTGTGATTTTTTTATCTTTCAAGGATTGTCGTTCCAAAGGGTTTTTGACATATATGGTTGTGTTGCTTATCTAGTTGATTTATTATTGTGATATTGTGTGGATGATTATTATATGCTTGATTGATCTATTGGAATTGGTTAATTAAAATGATTTAATACACTTGGTAAATTTTATTTGGTAATATACTCAAGACTTTGGCCTATTCACCCTTTTAGGACAGATGTGTCTTCTTCTTTTTTTACTTCTTTTTTTAAAAAAAAAAAAAATTAATTATTACTTTTTTTAATGTATGCTCAACTTGTGACAATAGGATTGAGGATTTAGTGGTGTAATTTTATGAGGCCTTGAAGACATTGATAGCAATATGTGAAGTTCTCATCAAGTAACAATGACTATACCCGACCCTACTTAAGCATGCATATTATGTCAGTGGAGATTTGGTGTGAAGAACCTTACACTGGAAGACAAAATGCAGGAGACTAGGGTGAGTTGGGGAGGATAGTGTAAATGAGTGAACGTTTGTAAGCCCACTATGATTGTTTTAGGTGGGTCCGACCATTCTCCTTCGAATGGTGTTGGCCCTATCATACATGGACCTTGGCCTTCGGCTTCTTGGCATGTTGGAACAACATGAGTTTACGCGCTTGTTTGGTTTGTTTTTGAGAGAGTTGTTTTTGAAAAATTTTTTAGGAAGAGAGTTTAGAAATTTTTTTGGTTTGTTTGGTTGTATATTTTGAAAGTAGTTTTGGAGTTTGGGATGATTTGATATTTTGTTGTAATTGAGTAGATGTGTGTGAGAGAAAAAGTGATCGAGAAGGAGAGAGGAGAGAGAAAAAGTGATTGATTGATGTGTAAGAGAGAGAAAGTGATTTTGGAAATTTTTTGAGAAAAATCTCAAACCAAACAATTTTTTGGAAATTTTTTTCTAAAACTCATCTCTAAAACTCAAACCAAACATACCCTACGTGTGTGATTTTTCTAATTCTTTTTTTTTTTTTGGCTGAGGAAATTCCTTCACCTTCCCATCCTTTCTTTGTGACCCGTTTTGTTCAAATTGATTTTTTTGCAATAACATCGGTAATGCCTACTCTGATCCTTGTGTCATTTTGGTTCCTACGTTTCAATGACTTGATTTTGACCTGAATTTTAGAGTTTGCGTCAATTTGGTCCAATAGATAACAGTCGTTTTTTGGCAGAAATAATGCACATGATTGCTGAGCAGAGCCTGTCGCCACTGCCACTAGAGATTATGAGGAGCTGCTCCATCTTTTTTCATCCTTTTCCCCTGTTCTTATAATTTTGATTTTGAGTTTGATTTTGATGGTTGTATATTGTGGGTGGTGTTGTTTAGTGGTGGTGGCGGTCGGCTGATTCGTGGTCTTGTTTGATTGTGTTTGGTGTTTGTTGTTGGGTGAGGAGGAGATGCACGGTGGTTGTAGTTAGTTGCAGAAAGAGATAATGGGGATGGAAGGGGAGAGGAATTGAAATGTCCATTCTGCCCCTGAAATTTAGTCACATGTTGTGCACATGACTATTTTCTGTTAAAAACTGTAACAGCTGTTATCTATTGGACCAAATTGACATAAACTCTAAAATTGAAGGTCAAAATCGAGTAAATTGAAAACATAGGGGCCAAAATGACACAAGGGGCAAAGTGTAGGGACTACCAACATAATTTGCCCATGATTTTTCTAGGATTTGTCTAAAAACTATGAAGTCTTCCTACTATAGCTTTAGGCTGGCATCATGGATCTACACTGATGATACTATTTATTATTATTATTTTTTTAGCTATGTAAATGCTGTAAAATCTTCATATAGATACTGGTATACTCTCCCCAAGATTTTTAATCTTATGGAAACGTATCCGTGTTCAATCTCCACGTAATGAATCATTCATTCTATCTCTATTTTAGTGCTATTCAATTCTGTGCTTATATTACATTGAATCATTTTTCTGATGGCAGATGGTGTAATGACAGCAGAGTGGTCTACTTCTAATGAGTGGGTTTTGATAACTGGAGGATGCGATGGTGCAATACGTTTTTGGGACATCAGACGTGCCGGATGTTTTCGTGTTTTAAATCAGTCACACTCTCAGCTAGGAAGACGTCCGCCACTTCTAGAACGTGCTGCCATGAATAAGGTTCACTTCTGTTCTTTTCTCTGCTGCAAAAGCCATACATGCCTGATAAAATTTTACAAAAATTATGTCCACACTGAAACCATAAAATACGGTTAACTTATGATGTTGAAATATTTCAGACTCTTACCAATGAGGTCCTTAATATCTTTCTTAGGTTTCATCTTCAAAATCCTCGTCAACAGGCCAGAGCTCATCTGTAAAAGCGCGTGCACCGCAGCGGAAAATGGCTCATGGGAATGGTTCAAAGCAGTCTGCTGTCAGTAAAATTCCCAGTCAAGTCAAAAGTTCTGCAAGGCAGAGATTACATCCAGGGATGTTATCTAGTCAGGATCATGCCACTGCTCATTATGGAGCTGTTATTGGATTAAAAGTAACTGAAGATGGCATGTATCTTCTGAGTGCAGGTTGAGTGTTGTTGTGTTAAAATATGACATTTTGGTTATTTTGTGTTAAAACTTATTTGTTTGTATAAAGTAAATATTTAAGTTGGAATTTAGGTTAACTCTATTCAGTTAACACTTGGCTTCTTTTTCCATGGAGAATCCAAAAATAAAGAAAGTTGTTTTCTCTGTCATTAAAAAAAATTGTGGGACCTTGATCTTTACACTGTTCTCATGACTGATATTTCAGCACGCACCATTTTGTTACCTCACAGTTTGATTTAGGGTTGGTTTGGCATAAACTAAATAATACAAAAAGTCAAAAAGTCACAAGCCTATTTAAGTCACATCATCTTATTTAAATCACATCACCTCTCTAACACATCACATCAAACCCAACCCAAACCCAACCCATATAAGTCAATAAGTCAAAAAGTGCACTTTTTTAGAACATCCCAAACCAACCCTTACTTTCTTGTTTCTGTTGCTTCATTTTTATGTCAGAGCTGTAGGCAAGTAGGAGCAGAAAGTGTTTGTGGTGACTCTATGGGCTAAACTAACTGGCTTTTTTGTAAAAGCATTATGAATGAAAAAAGTGATTGATAATGAATTGATGATTGATGCCTGTTGTAGATAGGGTTGAAATCTACAGATATCAATCAAGATAAATTCATATAGAGCATCACCAAATTTGTCAGTTCATTCTTACCATGCATTTGTCTTTTTCTAACTTAGTAAAGCAGTACTACTGTCCTTATAATGTTTTTTTAATCATGGACCTTATGCCACAGTTTAGTTGCTTTAACTGGATATGGTTTCTTGTATATATTGATTAGCTTATTCAAAAACTTATTTTAAATATGAGTAATTATTGTAAGAGCTGCTTGTTGTGGCCACTTTCTTTTTTGCAAAAATAAAATTAACCAGTCTTCTTGGTTCTTATATCATATGGAGATTTTCTGAACATTTAACAGTCATTGATCGTAGGGCTTGTCACTCCATCAAACTTGTTAAATAGCCCTAATAAATTACATTTTGATTAAGCACTTTTCCTTCTTGACTTACTAATTTCAGGTTCTGATTCAAGGTTAAGGTTGTGGGACATTGAATCTGGCTGCAACACGCTGGTGAACTTTGAAACTGTTCGCCTACAAACAGGCAAGGCTATCCAGTTAGCCACAACTCAAGATTCAGCCCTTGTCTTTGTTCCATGTATGACATCTGTCAAAGTAAGAAGTCATTCCTATACATCTGATGTTCATTTCTATACTTGTAAATATGTACAACCTTACACATGAATGAGTACAATCTGTGAACTTATGCTCTGAATTGCTTAGGTATTTGATGTGTGGTCAGGAAAGACAGTTCTGTCATTTCGTGGTCACTATGAACATGTGAACTGTTGCTGGTATAGCTTGCAGGACCAGGTACTTCCATCTCTCTCTCTCTCTCTGACTGTGTCACCCTATATTCTATACCCTACATCTTGTGTGGTTTGCCTACATTTTTAGAAACTTAGGTGGTGTTTGGCGAGACTTTTCGAAGTCCTTTCGAAAAAAAAGATTGCCATTAGGTGAAAATAATAAGAAGACATTCCATCGAAAGTCATCATGATCTCTAAAGCCCGTTTCAAAGAAGTAACCCAATGTTACTTCTGAAATACCTTTCAAGTGACTTATTGTGAAGCCTTCATTCACTTAAATGAATTATGCAAAACTTATCTTCTCTTTGTTCTCTTCTTACAACCAAGGCTGGGAATCTGATTCCTTTTACAAAAAAAGAGAATGAAAAAAGTGAGAGGGGGAGTAAAATAGTGTGAAATTTTATATATCTCTAGCAATCTCGTAAAAACAATTGTGCTTTTACTTATACAAGATTAAATATTGTATATCTAAGAATATATTATGTTTTTGCCTCAAATTTCTTCCCCATCACTATATTAAAATATACATATGATAAATGAACTAGATGAATAATAATGTTAATGGATAATATTGTCAGGAAGCAACTCGGCACTTGTAAATGTTGCCACCAAACATACATTAACATAGAGAAAGCAATTCTTGATTTCAAGGCACTTTCAAATCAAACATTTACTGAACATCAGTTTTTTTGTTGGAATTCCTTTTTGGAAGCCCTCCTTAATGGACTTCCAACTACAAGAAATTGCACCAAGCATGCTCTTAATCAGTAAGTGGACTTCCACTTCGGTCTTGTTCATCAATTTGAGTGCTTGAACACCCTAATGGTTTGAACCAGACAAATTTTTGGAATTCAGAACTCTGAATGTGCATTCAAAATTATTTCCCAAATATGTAGTTGAATATTTACCCCCGATGCATGTTGCATTATTTTGGCATATGATCTCATGAACTCAGACAATCTCACATCTAGTTGTTCACCAGCATATGATTTAAGACCAAAAGGCTTTCTATTCTCTACCACACTCCAATTTTTATCTCGTCAGGAATATCTAAGATTGTTTTCTTTTTTCCCTACCTGATACTGATTATGCAAACTGGTTGAAGAAATTTTGTTGCTTTGTTGCAGGAATTATACACTGGTGGTAACGACAGGAAAATTCTAGTTTGGTCTCCAACCAAATTTGTTTCTGATGAACTGGTACATCTTCTACTTAGATGGATACACATACCTCGATTTATGCAAGTGAATATTTTCTTATTTTGTTCGGGTGACCATGCAGGATGAATGGATCAAGAGAGGGAAGGCTTCTGCTCTGGATCAGGATAACTGGAGTGATTGACATTTATTGCTGCCACTGTGTTTCAGATTTCCAGGTCATCTATGAATTTCCATGTTTGTACATAGGATTATTCATCATCAGTTGCTAGTGTTGTTTTATTGTTTTTGTTTTTGGGTTGTTGCTTTTGATTTGGGATGCAAACAATAGGTTTAACCAGAGTAGTATGCTATAGCTCTTCCATAAAAGCGATTTTGTTTTGTTTTTTAAGTGGTTATGTTCAGTTACCAAAAGAAACAAAAAGAAACAAATGATTATATTTGTGAATTTGTATTTAACCAAGAAAATAGGAAACTATTACATAATAAAAACATAATGTTATGTTTATCTGGAAGGGAAGAGAAATGGATCCGCGGCTTTAGATGGCATCAACATATATATTGCAGTACACATTATATATGGGTCCTAAAATTGTTGGGAAAACAGAATCTGATCTTTCTATTAGCCCATGATTTTTCAACTTCTATTCATTTCCCTTGTCATTATTAATTCGGTTGCATCGCAGGCTCTTAAAGCTTTGAATGGTGAGCATATTTACAACAGGTATGGCATTCTGTTTCGTTGCACATGGGGAAAGAACACATGCCCCATCCCTCTTTACCTGTTGCAGGTCATTTGTCTCTCAATTTGGACTGCACCTGCATGTTTATCGCTGGCTTCATAGCATTCACTTTTTTAAAAAATTATTTATTTATTTATTAATATACGGATCACTTATTATTTTCTATCTTTCATTGGTAATGCCACGGCCCTGACCAGAATGAATCCCAATTGATGTATGCATTCATTTAATAAGCTAACCGGAAAATTGTGAAAAGAGGTGTTTCTCTATGAGTAGAAAAGTTTTTGACTTTGTTAGCCGATAATATAAACAAGTAATTTTTTTAGAACTTATTCAAAAAATAACTTTTTTTTAGGCCAAGTTTGGGTACTTCTAAAAAAGCCAAAAAGTCAAAAAGTTACTCAAAAAGTTAAAAAGTTAATACTATTCACCAAAAGTCAACAATTACGTACTTCTAAAAAAGCCAAAAAGTCAAAAAGTTACTCAAAAAGTTAAAAAGTTAACACTATTTTTTATTACACATTTTTCAATAAAAAGTCAAAAAGTTAACCCAAACATCCATATTTTCAACCTCAACTTTTTAGTTCAAAAAGACAAAAAGTATACTTTTTTAGTCTTCCCAAACTTGGCCTTAGTTACATTGCAAACAAGCTCACCATAGCAGTTTAGATAAAAATTGGGGTGGGGGATGCATTGAACATCTGAGGATGGTAAATGCGTAATTGACCAATGATGTGTTTGCTATTATTATTTGTGAGAGCACATTTATCAAAATAAGTGTGAACTTGGTTATACCTCATGCATGCATGCACCTGCACAACTTTGGTTAATGTGTGTCTATCTTAGGTCTCGTTTGACAAGTCCATATTTTAGTTAAAAAGTTAAAAAGTCACTATAAATTATTACATTGCTCTATCTATTTCTTTTACACATTTTTTTGTAAAAAATTAAAAAGTTATTAAAATAACTTGTTTCCAAATGAGGCATTAGTTAAATTGATAGATTGATGTTGTTGCTTATATTACCATTATTATTTTGGGCGAGTTTGGAAAGTTGGGTTTAGAACCACCCCCTGTTTTGGCTAAAATTTATAAAAAGATAAAATAAGTTAAAATAGTTAATAAGCTAAAATGACACATTAAACTCATAGTTATTTCACTTATTCTCTCACAAGTATAACATCTAATTACAAAAAAAATTCATTTCTCTTTTTAAATGTAATTATTTTAACTTAGTAAATTGTCAAAAAATAAAATAATTTATTAAAACAACAAACTTTCCAAACGATGTATATATATATATATAAAGCGTTGAGCTTGGAATAATAATCATTGATAGGATTTAAAGTATTGCTCAACCCTGTTCGGCACTTGTCCTTTTGTCATTTGACCCAAAGACCATTGTATAAATGGTTTGGATTTGACAACTATGGTGGAAGTATGAATTTAATTTGTATATTAATATTTATCGACTTTTAATATAATTTAATTTATATATATATATATATAAATATTTTGTCACTCAACCTAGTCTAGTAGCTTTTGTTTCAGGTTTGTTTATTTATTAGTGTTTTAACTTTTTAAAAAAGATGCATAAAAAAAATAATATGACAATTTATAACAAATAAATAAATAAGTTGCTTATTTAGCAACTTCTTAAATGATCAAAAATTTAAGGAAAAGGAATAGGGGATCGCTTTCAACGCTCCACCTGAGGCTTGAACTCAATTTTCACTAGCAGTGTGGCCCCGTTTGGTGTAGCTGTTAAAATAGCTTATAGATTATATCTTAACAGATTATAGATTATGACTTTAATCAGAAGTTGTTAATTTGTTTGGTGTAGCTGTTAGATTACAGATTTAAGTTGCTGAATAGTGTTTGTTAAATAAGTTGTGAAATAACTTTTTCAATTAATTTTTATTTTTTGTTATTTACTACTTGTCTACATTTCTCATGAAAAAAAATAATAATAATCTATAGTCCATTTGGGTCTTTTTTTATTTTTTAAAAAAATAAAAACTAAAAAAATCTAAGAGTATAACCATAAATTAACATGTCCACAGCAGAAGCTGATAATCAGAAGCAAGGGGTAAGCAGCTTCACAGAATGAGCTTTTTTGAGTTAAAATAAGCTGTTAGAATCAGAAGCTGTTTGAAATAAGTTTAACCAAACAGTATAAAATAACTTTTTCAAAGCTAAAAGCTATAAGTTAGCTTTCAAAAGCTGAAACAAACACCCCCTATGTACCACCAACCTATTGGAAATGTTAGGTATCATAAATTTTTTTTTTTATGAAAATAATGATGAAAGTTTTGTGACCCTTGAATTACACTTGGAATAAAACACCACACACTAACCAAGGTAATTCAAGGATTATAAATCTTTCATGATTATTTTTATGAAATTTTTTTCATAATTCTTAACTTTTCTCTATATTTGTTGTTCTCTTGAGCATAAAATAAATATTTGTAACCCGCAAATGTCATTTTATACCGTGGGGGTTGGTTTAGAAGTCTATTTGCATTTTGTTTGGAAATTTTTTTACAGAAAATATTTTTTTGAAAAAATATTTTTCTATGTTTGATAGTGGTGGTGGTGGTGAAACAAAAATGGAGGTGGATGTGGTGGCATAGTGGTGAGGCGATGGCAGCAATAATGGCGATGGTCATGGTGGCGGTGGCCGTGTTGATGGTGGTGTGCTGGTGAAGGTGAGAGGTGGTCGTGGTGGTGTGGTGACATTGATAAAATTTTAATTCGGAAAACATTTTCTGCTTTTTAAAAGGAGAAAACATTTTTTGTTCAAATATGTTTATTTTTCATTTATCATAAAAAAACATTTTCCATTGCCTTTCATTTTTCATTGTTTCAAATATTGGAAAATACAGAAAATATTTTAAAAAATATTTTTCACCTAAATAAACAAATACTTGAGGTTGTTTTGATGAATTAGTAAGAGTTATTTTAGTATTATGTTATTTATCGTATTATTGTTAAAATTTAATATAATGAAAAACAATTTAGCATTCATCATATTAATGCTCCGTTTGGAGACTTGGGTTTATAGTTAAAAAGTTAAAAAATTACTACAGGTTATTATATTATTCTCTTTATTTTTTGCACATTTTTTTAAAAAAATTAAAAAAATTTAATTAAAATAGTTAATTTCCAAACAGGACCTAAATTTAACATTATACTCTATCTATCGTATCCAATTGTGTCAAATTTTGGCTCAATAATTGTTTGGTCATTGGCGTTTTAAAATTTAGAATAAATCACACTAACTTCCCTTGAAATGTGAAGAAAATATAATTAGTTTAACAGTTTTGATAATTACATTGAGTTCATTTGAGCAAGGTTAAATGTAGGGATGCAACTCGAGCGGGTTCGATCGGGTTGGGAGGTTATCTAAGTCCAGCCCAAGTTGTGCTGAGATCTGTCCATGCCCGCCCAAGCCCGAATTATAACCCGAGGTTGCCTGTCCAAGCCCGATCCGAGTTAAACTCGAATTGCTCGAGTTGCTCGAATTGCCTGATTTTTCTTTTTCCCAGCTACATTATTAAATTATTAAAATTTAACTCTATTTACATTTTTTTTATATATATAGAAAATTATTAATACCATTAAAACAAATAATTTATATAATGTAAGAGAGATGCCGCTATAGTAGTTTTTACAATTTATGAGTAAAAATAAAAATAAAAATAAAAAAGTAAGATTTTATGTTATTTATATATATAATATATATTCAACATGATTTAATAATCTAAATTACTTTAATATCATGTAATAACTAATAATTTGTGTATATATATATAATAATCTAAATTATTTTAATATCATGTAATGGCTAATAATTTGTATATATATATTTAATATTTTTATATAACTATATATTTATAATTCGGGTTTCGGGTTGTTCGGGTTGTTTGATGTCTTTGTCCAAGCTCGTCCAAATTTAATTTGGGCTTTTGAAATTTTACCCAAGCCCGTACCAAATTTAAAAATATTTTGTCTAAACCCTAAAAAAATTCGAACTAAATTCAGATTGCTCGGATTGAGCCCACCCAAGTTATACCCCTAAGTTAAATGGACCAAGACCCAGGTAAGCCGCCCTATAGTGGTAAGGAGATTGCGCCTCTCTTTGCTGTTAGTATTCGAATTCCTTTACATTCAAGTGGGTGGACCCATTACCTTTCCCCAGTTTGCTCTGGCCCATATTAGTGATCATGGTTTTAAAAACCGGATCGGACCGGCCGGTTCAACCGGTTGAACCGGTGACCGGATGGGGTTCCGGTCCGGTCAGCCCCCTAAAACCGGCCAAAGGTAAAAACCGGCCTCTTTAGTGAAAACCGGTGAACCCACCGGTTAAACCGGTGAACCGGTCGACCCGGTGACGGGTTGACCGAACCGGACCGGTTTGAAATTTTTTTTTTTTTAATTTTTCTGTGTTTTTTTTATCTTCTTTCTTTCTTTTCTTTCTTTCTTTCTTATTTTATATATATATATATATATATATAAAATATAAGAATATAAGAAAATTTTAATTTCAAACTCTTTTTCAAGGGTCTCCTCTTGTGAGGAATCCCATTAAGAGTTTGATGAAATTATTGTGAAAGTCTTCACCTATTTATAAGAAAAAAACTCTTTCAAAAAAACTCAAGAAATCTATGTGGGATTTAATCAAATGTATTGGAGGGAATATTGAAATTTTGATATCCCTCCAAAATTTTTGCTTTCCTTTCAATCAAATTATTTGAATTAAAATC